ACATTAAAACCAGAAAAGCTTTCTGCGCCACGAAGCCCCTGTTGTGTGGGTTGGGGCTCTGTGGTGCAGAAACATGTGCTGAGAGACATGAGCTGCACTGGGTATCTGCCACGATTTGCGTGCCACAGTGCTGGTTTCAGTGCCAGCCTGCATGGGAGCGATGTGGAACATCATGTAGAGTGTGGGCAGAGGTGTCGCTGATCTGTCTCCTCGGATCCCACTTCCCTGGGCTCCCCACCCAGCTGCCAGCAGGAGCACCGGGATGCAGCCTGGTCCTGGGAGTGCTCAGCCTTGCAGCCCAGGTCGGTTTCCTTGAAAAAGAAGCTGTGGCTGCCCCATCCCTGGCAGTGTTCCGGGCCAGGCTGGACAGGGCTTTGAGCAACCTGGGGTAGGGGAAGGTGTCCCTGCCTGTGGCAGCAAGTTGGAAATGAATGAGCTTTAAGGTCCCTTCCAACCCAAACCAAGCTGTGATTCTATGATTCCTTTCTTACAGTTCAGCCATGTAAATGCTAATCCTAATTCGTGGGCTTTGGGAGAACTGAACTTTATTTTCAAAGGCATGAACTCGAGTGGCATTTTCAGAAGTACTTGATACTGAGGGAACTTGGCTGCCACTGCAGACAGGCGCAGTTCTGTCACTGATATTAGAGGCAACTGAGTTGGGACAGTATATAACGCTTCAGAAAAAAACAATTTTTATTTTATAGAGGTTTTTTTTTTTTTAATTTGCTTTGTATACTTTTTTTAATTTCTTTGCTTTGGAAATTCTTTTTTGTGGTGAAATATAGCTGTCATTTATCGTGTAAATGCGAGTCCATTAAACTAGGAACTAGCAAATCTGTGAGCACCCTCTCGTGGGATCCTGATGTATTACAGCATCTTCATCCTGTTACCCCGAATTTATCTTTCTCTAAGCATTTGAATGTAATTTCTAGATTTTAATGTATTAAATCAGAGAAGAGCTCTTGAAGGTTCAAAAAAAATGCTTGAGGTCACAAAATTCTCAGAAGTCTGGACCAGAGAATTAAAATATCGTTCATAAACAATACATATTTAGAGTTGTGGAGTAAGTGCCAGATTCACATAAAGAATTTCAAATTTATTCTGGTTTGTGTCAGGCTTTTATCCAGTGTAATACCTTGTATTTTAGACAACAGTGTTAAAAAAATCAGTGGATAGCTTTTCATCTTTTAAAAGATGTAGGTGGTACAGAATAATTTGTGTAACTTCGGAGATGGTGAATTTCGTATTTAGCATACGTTGTATTTATTGGTTGGTTGTTTTTTTTTAGCTGTGAGCATCGCTGTCCAAAAAAAAGAAGTAATTATTTACTGTTTGGGCTCTGCTGTAGTCTGCTGTTACAAGAGCAGAATTACCCGCCTAGACTGATTCTGATAATTACATACATCCCCATGCACTGGCTTTGAATGAAGCTAAGTGTACTATGTTACCTTTTCACGGCTTCATAAAAATAATCAGAAACTTGAACGGCAGTTGGAATTTTTCTGGAGTGAGTAATGTTTTTGAGCTGTTAAGAAGGAAGTTATCCTGAGGATTTGTTTTTATAGATAAATAACCTTTTTCTATGCCATGTCCTCGAGCATTAAGTGTCCTTTTACCTTTCGTTATTCATTTTAACAATTAGAAATGGTCTCATTTAAGAAGTATCTCCGTTAAGCTGCTCTCCAGAGCTCTTCCAGTTGGCTCCTTCAGTTCTTCACAGGTTTGGGCCGTCGCTTTATCAGCAGCTTGAGGCAAGAACCGTTCCTTCCCGCGTGCCTTGTGTGGAGCCAACTGGGTTGCTGTGATAGATCCCGACAGGCAGCGGAGAGTGTGCCAGCTGGCCCCGGAGGTGCTCATCCCAACTGCTTCTCAGGCTCTGCTGCCTGCCGAGGGTGCCAGCTCTCAGCCTACACTCCTCTTCCCCTTCCCTAATGAGAGGGAACAGAGTCTGATTGCAGACAGGAACTTCTGTCACGGTGGTTGTAACTGGGAGAACTGGTTTTGACTGCAGTATAACACGAAGATGGCATGGGTTTGCATGGCCTCTGAGTGACTTTTAAAAGAGCATACAGCCCTCTTTTTCAAACATTTCTGGTGTTATATTATGTATCTTTTTTTAACTTGTAAAAGCTTCCCCTCTCCCCACTTGCTTTAAGGCTAAATATTTATGAATGGAGAGAAGTCTTCCCTATGCTTGCCTCCCAAGTAAGTGAAATATGGATTTCAGATTGTTTTCACCAAGCCCACCATCCCACTTGCTGACACCCTTCGTGAGCCACCAACCAATCATCTTCCAGCAAAGGTGGATTATTTTCCAAAATCACCAACAGGTGCTCTGGTGTATAATATGCTGCGATTGCTCATGCAGTCTAAGTGAAGGATTTGAAGTTATATTATTACAGGTAAGTGAGATGTATGAAGTGATGGGCTGAAATTAATGCTGGCTCTGTGCTTTCCTTTGTTCCAGAATGGCATTCTTTCTGGAGGAGGTGATGACTTGCACCAAACGTCTCCTGGAGGTGATATCTGGCTGGCTGCCTCGACATTTTTTCGGTGCAATCCTGGTTTCTCTCCCAGCTCTTGCAGTTTTTTCACACTTCACCTCTGATTTTGAAACAAATATACATGTAAGTTGTCGAACTCCATTTCATAATCTGACGTTTTGGATCTAACAAAGCTTGTTGCTTGCCTGCTGTCTCCCTTCACCTCCCTCGTGCTTTACATCTGTTTGATACAGATCCCTTAGAGGGATAGGGATTTGTGTATGATGAAATGCCTAGTTTGTTATATAAATACAGTCACTTGCTTATTGGAAAACTCTCATACAAAAGAGGAGAGGGATGCCTCTGAATGCCTGCCTACATACATACTTACATACACACTTTTATTTTTTCTTAGACCAAACCCTTTCTGCAGGTGTTTGTTCTAGATAACACAAATAGTATAAGTCTTGTAATTGTGTTGTTTCTGAGTTTGATTTAGAGTTTGTAGTGGGAGATGCTGTGTATGATTTAAAATTTTGACTGCACATTAGTGAATTTCAACAATGAGAACAGTAGTGGATGTTTTTTCATTGTGGAGTTAGATGGAGGAACGTGAAGGAGAGATGACACATAGAAATGATTGCTGTGCTGTGCAGGAGCTGCGGGAATGGTTAAAGGAATGCAATTGCTGTCTGTTGAAAAGAAATTGAAAGAAATTGGCATATTTAGCCTAGCCACAGAAAGGTCCACAGGGGATTTGTTGTCTCCTTTAATAAAAACATTCAGAAGGGGGGAACAAGGGGTTAAATATTAAGTAAAGGGAAGAATAGTATACTTTAAAGTCTAACTGTAGCATGAAATCAATGCTTAAAAACTTTGTGAATAAAATGGACTGGAACCAGAAATGAAAGTATGTTTCTCTGCAAGTTTCTCTTGGGTAGTACAGTGTAACATCCTTCCTTTCCTGGATCTTCACGGAATCCTGTTTCATAAACTTTTTGCTATTTCAGGGCCCTGGGCATACATAATGACCAGATCCTCTTCATTCTTCCTATCACAGCTTATTATGGGTGTTGGGAAGTGTTTGTTCTGTGCAAACATATGGACTGGACGTTTTTTGGTCCTTCCCAACTTAAAAAGATAGTCCATGGTTATCACAGTCACAGAAGAGTGCATTTGATATTCTCTCAAATTCCATATTTAAAATTATTTATAGCTCTTAACTTTTGTGAACCTCAGTTAATCTTTTTTAAGCTGTAAAATATACTTATTTGTTTGATTGTTTATTCACTTTGATGATGGTGTGTCTCTGTCATGACTACCAGTAAATTAATTGTAGGAATGTTTCCCTCACACTGAAGGGAGGCGAAAACCTTCAAATATCATTCCATTCATCACCATCCTTGATCATCTCTCCAAACATTTACAAAAAATGTTGGATGAACCATTTAATTAGTGTATCCTTGATACCTGCTCAGATCAGGTGGCCAGTCTGAATGCTTCAGGCAGCAGCAGTGAGGTGGTGGTGTTCATCACCAAACTGAGAATGAACTTCGCTTTCTCTCCTCTTGCAGGTCCTCCTGAGTCGTGGGGCTGTTGGCTCACTCTCCAAGAGGTGTCCCAACTCATCTTGTGCTCAGTGTTTCGACAATCATGGAGCTCTAGGAAATGAAGTCAATTTATAGAGGGTCAGGTAAGTGTCATATTTTACTATGACATGGTTTTGCAAAGTTTTTTTTATTCATAGCATTTTATACCTTCCCTGGATATAAAATAATCAAAATTAACCAAAGCAGCAATGAAAAAAAAACCAAAAAAACTTTCCAAAGCCATGCTTACATAGTAAAACACAGCACTTCCTGACCCTCTATAGGCTGGCTCCGTGCTGGGGCATCACTTGGAGTGAGAACCAGTGCTCTGCCACTTTAGGAGACCTGAAATGGGGGGAAAAAAAGTAAGTTCAAATTCTGGGGGTTTTATGGACTCTTCTGAAATTTCTTTTATCCATTTTTGGGTCATTCAAAAAAACAACAACTGTGATTGTGGTTTAAAAATGGTGAATTATGTAAGGATGTTTTTCCATACACTGTGTCTGCTTCTGAATCACATGCTTATTTGTTATGCTACAGTATTGCTAATCTGCATTCCCTGCGCTTCAGCTGTAAAGGAAATTTAAAATGAGAGAAAAAGGGAGAGAATGATCATTTGATACTGTAAAACGCAATATGTAGCTAGAACAGAACTCCATAATATGGTTGTGGAGCTTCTGTTCTAGCTTGGATGGTCATGAATATTCTTGATAAAACAAAAATTTGCACATCAGCTTGAGAGTTTTGACCACTGTAAGATTATATTTTGGGAAAATTAAGACATTCTGGGTAATATATCTGTCCTGCACTTCCTTTTCTTTGTCCAGTGAAGATGTGGAAAGGGAAAGGGTTTTCGAGATGCGGCATTTGGAACAGAAAATTAAAAAAGGGTTGTTTCAAATTGGCACGAGTGGGTGTGTTACCAAACATTAGTTTGACAATGACTGATCCCTGCCCATCGTTACAAACACAGATTTTTTTTTTTCTTATTTGAATTCACCTTTTACTGGCAGGTATGATAATGTCCTTCAAAAAGTGTTTTTAAAAGTAGGTAGTTGGGAGAAGTTTCTGAGGGTTAATGTGTTCACATTTTTGATGCAGTGGAATTTTGATGTTTGGTTTAAAACAGACAGGACCTAACCCCAGCAGCTGAGAGGAGGTTATCACAGATGTTTACCTTCCTCGTTTTGTTTTGTTTTGTTTTGTTTTGTTTTTTCTTTCTTTTTTCCTCTCTTTTGCTTTCCTTTCCCTCTCGTCTTTCTACTTTCTCTTTTCTCTTTTTGGCACTGAGCCTTTTGCAAAGGTAAGCTGAAGGTATTGAAAGCTTCTAAACTAATGATTGTGTAATGCAGTAATATAAAACTCCATCTATGGAAAATTGCAACAAACCTGTGCTAAAAGTTTTCTTCCTCTTTGAAGGGAAGACCTCCATCTTTGGGTGCTGTGTCCTGATACAGACGCTGTGAGGGATTACTTACCGTGCATATAACACAACCAAAATCAGATAGTTCTCTTTCATACCACACATTCCTTAATTTACGCTGGCATTTGTGTGCAGGGGGGCTTCAGTCAGCAGAAGATGCTAACTCACGTTCTCTCTCTTTGTTGCAGTACACCATGTTTATGTGTTGTGCAATTCTCATCACCATTGTGCAGTACTGTAACTTCTGCCAGCTAAGCTCCTGGATGCGATCTCTGCTGGCAACCATAGTAGGAGCAGTGCTTCTCATTCTGCTCTACATCTCCTTGTGTCCAGACAGGTGAGCATCGCACCTTAGCACTTACAGACCGTGTTTTAGATGAACATCTCTGGTTTTCTCCACCAGTGAAGTGAGGATCTAATGCATGGGAATTTAGCATCTGCCACGACTTTCTCCAGCCCCTCAAACTTAATATTTGGGAAGAGTTCTTTTTTTTTTTTTTTTTAGATTTATTTATTTTAAGGATTTTAGGACAATATCTGAGGAGCCCTTTTCCTGTAATCTGTTTTGGAATGACACTCTGTCCTCAATCGATGTGTTTCTAAGGCACACATTCTTATCAGACCCGTACAATTGCCTTTCACCGTTTGCTTGAAAATCTGTTTTATTATCAAGAAATCTCTGATACATTTGGTGGTGCCAGAGAGCCCAGTTGTTCCCTCACACCCCTCTGGATTTATTTTTCCCCATAGGAACCATGTATCTTTCTAATACCTCCTTTCTCAAGGAGTTTTCCACTGTGGAAGGCAGGTGCTATGATTTAATAGGATTCTAATATACTGTTTCCTTTCTCACTTTACTGCCTTTTCAGAGGATGCTGCAGGACAGTAACTGAAGAATCAATTTAATGCAGTTTCTGTGCAATAACTTTAAGGCTTTTAAGTTTTTCCTCTGATTTTCCCCATAGGAGAACATGTTTGCAGTATTCTTTCTACTTTCTTGCCAAAAGATTCAAGGGAGTCCTTCCAAGCCATCCACTCCTATTGTCAAAATTTTATAATCAACTTGCACTTCTCAGTGGCTTAAGAAACGTCACAGCCTTTGGCTCTTCTACTGTAGTGTGGACTTTGCAAGGGCTTTTTATTCTAGATTATTCTAGTTCCTATGCCTTCTTCAGAGGCCTGCTCAATCATACAGTGAAATATATGAAAAAGCACCAAACCAAAAGGAGTTTGCAGATACATGCTTTGTGTGAGTGTTTAGCCTTTAATCCCCTCTTCAAGTATCTTCAGTGGTCTTTTTTAATCTTGATCTAATTTATATACAAAAGGGCAGGGAGAATGAAAGTCACCCCTTATTCACATCTGTAAGTTGGAAGTGGCTATAAGGGTTATAGGAAGAAAGTTTTTCCTTGGGGAAAAAAATAAGTTGGAAGTAGAGTCAATTGACAAATGGTTTCCTAGGTCATATTAGACTAAACCTGTGGTTTGAAGAGGGGTGATCATTGATGGGCAAAGTACAGAAATCAGAGAATATGTTGTTATTTCATCTTTAAAAAATAAATATTTAAAATAACAGAGCTGTTCAACTGCAGAACTGACAAAATGATTTATAGAATTGATCATGAAGAAAAATAATACAGGTTGAATTAGTGAGACTTGTAACTTTTGTTTGTTAATAATAACTTTTTTGTTCCTGTCCTATCTGGATAATAGGTTTTGACACAGTGGTAACTGGAGCTTTGTGTCCATCTCAGGCAAATAAGTCCATGCTGCAGATTTCTTCTTTTCCAAAAGTAACTAATCCTGAGTTTGTAATACGTGATTGTGGTAGAGAAATTGCAAGACAAGTAAACACAAAAGTTGCTTAAACTACTTAATGATTTTCTGTAATGGCATTTTCAAAACCAGACTCTCTACTTGTTTGGAGAGGCTTGTTGGGTTTTTTTTACATCTTTGTATTGTGTGGTCAGATAAGATGAAGCCGTAAGTGAGTTTTAGAGTTCTGAAATTGCTTTTTCATGTTTCCAAGGTAAGATTGGATTGTTTAACGCTTACTTGTAACAGGCATCAACTTGACTGCGTTATCATCAGTTACTCTTTAGAGGTGTTTGCATCTCTGTGACTGGTTGCTTCTTCCAAGCAAAAAGTGCAAATAAGTCACATTCAAACAAAGTTTGTCTGAAGCTGATGAAGCATGCAGTGCAATTACTGGTCCTGCAGTCTACATAATAGTAAAGTTTAAAATGCTAACTGGAATTCTGGCAGGGTGCTTTGTTTATTGCTTTAACTTTCCTTCTGAAATCAATGCTTTTTTATTTCAGCTCCATGGAAACTTTTCATCTAGATTTGGCACAGAACTTTAGGTAAGCTTTATATTAAATTACCATCTTTATGTTTAGGGATAGAAAAATTTCCAGTCAATTATATGTAGCAGAACTTTGCTACAGTAATACACTTGGGAAGTCAGCAAATTGTTTCAGCAAGTTGTGTTTAAGCTCCTTGTGTGCGTAATTTCCTTTGCAGGGGTCTTAGGTATGACCAAAAATCATCAGAGAGCTAATGTTGCAGTTGCTTAGTTATGTAATGCTATTTTCTTTCTAAATTTGATTTCTAGGAACTATAACTATGGAGGAGCTATAAAATATCATCTGGTTTTGTAGTAGTAGCAGTTTTTAAAGCATTATCTGTACATCGTGAGCTATTTATTTTATTTTATTGGTTGATTTGCACCATCCAGAAGTGTTTTGAGTTGGATGCTATCCACAGCTTGCCAGGTGAGAATCCCCTGCAGTAGAGGAGCTTCAGCCGAAAACGCTGTCTGTGAAGCCAGCTGCCTTCACTGGGTTGAGCAATGCTGGTTATGACAGTCTGGGTATTGTCTGCCCCCCTGAGCTTGCTTAGGCAGACTTGCAAGGCATATCCTTGGGAGCAAATGAGATTTAAGTGCTCAGACTTTTAAACAAACAAACACAAATCTTTTCTTGGGTTATTAATAGCCCCTTATAAGTACACATGTTAAAGATTCGCTCTGATTGTTTCAGTGTGGAATTTCTCCTGGTTTTATTGCAAGTTTTGCAGTACCATTTTCAAGCTGTTTTTGTTGGTCTCTGGTATTAGGAAAGTCATGTTTGCTAATTACAAATTTGGGGGCAGTACTGGGGCAATGATGTACTTGACGGAACTAACAACCCTGTGAATATGTGAGTCAGTAATTAATCTAAACAAATGTGTATTGAGGAGTGTGTCACTTTTACTGGGAGTATGTATGAAAACAATTACTTTTTAAAAAATGCCATCTACATGAATGCTGTGGTAGTTTAGAAAACCCATGGGGTTTAAGAACAGGGAGATGATAACTGTGCTTTCACATTAGGTATTTATTCACCAAGAAGTCAGCACTTACTACAGTGTTGGGGGTTTTGTTTGGTTGGTTTTAACACGAGTTTTCCTTTTAGTGTGGCTTTGATTCATGAACAGTACCTTCATTTTTATAACAGAATTCACTAAACATTTCAGTGTATATATATATGGTTCATATAACAGTTCACTGAATCCAGAATGGGAAATTAAAGCCAAAAGAACAGAGGTGGCTTGGTTTTTTTGTTTTTGTTCAACTCATGACAAGTAAAGGTAAGAGTGCATAAGAAACCAAACCACTCAGAAGATGTTGCTGCAAGCATGTGTGGAGCATACTCTGCTTGCTATGCAAATCCTAGCTTGCCAGCTAAAGGCCAAATAAGGCAGTGACCAAAATATCTCTCTCACTGAACACTTCTAAACTTCATTTTTAACTTTTTATTATGAAATGTACTAGATTTGTATTTTGTCTGTCACTCCCTCAGTTGGGGGAAAAATGCGTGTGTTACTTCACAGCGCTGGCTGTTCTGTGTGTCAAGCAATGGTTTTGTCAGGTTAGTTGGCCACTGTCTCTGTTGTAAAGCAGGAATTGTACCAGTCCAGTATGGTCTTTGTTAACAGGCCAGGCTCCACACTGAACTGAACCAGCCCAAATTTGTAAATTAACACAATCCTTCAAAGTGCTGGAAGTTAAAGAGACAACTAAGATTTAGTCCTATTCTGTTTCTACCATTAATTTGCAACAGAATTTGGCTTCTCTTTTCAGGGATCTGCTAATGTACATTCTTGTATACCACAGTTCTAGGGTTCTGTGAAAACATAATTTCCCCTTTCTCCTGGTGATGGTGTAATACAAAGTTGAAACTCCTTTATCTTAACAAACTGTTTTGCTGTTGCTTTCTTACTGAAATAAATAAGGTTCCTTGTTCACTTCAGTCAGCATACAAGTTTCTCCTGTGTTCCAAGAGAGCCAAACAGACTTACTTGTTTTGCATGCCTTTAATGAGGTTATTCCCTCTTCTTGATCAAGAATTGAGATAATTATTAATGTTGTGTGGGAAGAGAGATGCTAGTAGTGGTAATGAAGTCTTAGCACAAAGTTCAACTCTGGACCATCCTCACTGTGCTCAGTAAATCAAAATATGGAATCTGCCTTGTTTTCCAAACAGATGAGCTCTTCAGTCTCAAAGAGATACACCCATAAACTTTGTCTTTTAAGCAGGAAATATTTCTTGTTCACATGAATTTCTTAGAGCAGGCAGAGCATATAATTTTCTAATTTGTGACCGCTCGAGGAGGAACAGTGATAAGCCACTTGAGGTGGGTTTTTTTATAGGCATCCATTACATGTTCTTCATTGAAAGCAGCACTTTGATTTCCCTTTTTCACACTGTTCCACCATAGTGTTCCTCTTTAAGATTTAGCAGGCATGCATCCTCTTTAAATACAGCAAGATATCCAAATCCAAACATAGGTTACTGGCTCAGAAGCAGAACAGCTTTCCAAAAATCTTTGTAAGTGGAAAGCCATTATCTTTATGATTCGTGATCAAGCCAAAGGAGATTCTATCTCCGGAGCTCTCACTTGTTTCATATTCAACACACAGCCTGGATGAAGATGCCAAGTTAATAGTTAGGTGTCTTTGCCAGGAAGCACTTCACCAGTTTGACTTAAAGGAACATTGTCGGCTTAGGATTTCAGTTTGCATGATTTTTAAAATCCATTTTCTGCTGCAGCACCTCATAAAAAGTAGACTTTAAAAAGAAAGAGATCCTTTCTGTTATGGGGGGGGGGGGGGGGGTTTTTTTTTTTTTTTTTTTTTGTTGTTGGGGGGGGGGGGGGGCGGTTCTTTTTCCTTCTTTTCATTCTAAAAGGAAGCTTCAGGTCATCTTTGCTAACTGACTGTGTAAGATGATTTATAGTCCTTTAGGTTCTGAAACCTGGCTGCTGCAACATCCAGAAGTTTGATTTCCAAATGAGTAAGATTTAATTGCTCCCTCCTTCAGGCTGGCATCTCACGTCTTTTTGCCCTAATGCTTGTAGCAGTCCCACTGTGATCAGAAACGCCTGTTCTGGAAAAGATACTGCACCTTCTTTTTTGAGATACTAACCCATTACCTTGTTAATGAAATCAGGTCAGTTTACAAGTGAGGCACTTGATTCACATGCACACCTCTAAGGTTGTACCACCCACATGGGAAATAAGGTCAAGTCAGCACTTGAGGACATGACTGGGAGCTTGCAGATGCCAGTACTTCACGAGTGGTGGTTGAGAGGCAGCAGTTTCTTCTTAAAAGGCAAATCTTGCGTTCAACACAAGCCACTTTTTGTAGCATAGAATTGGTGATGCTTGCCTAATTCATTTAAGAGGAATTCAAGTACTTTGAGGAACATTTTTTACAACAAACTGTAAATAAAAAGCTTTTAATGACTTAAATCCCTGTGGCAGGGATGTTCGATGTTAGAGCAGATTATCTGGATCAAACTCATACTCTCAAAGGAGTAATGTGTCCTTGCTCAGATCTTCTAGCAGATCTCTTCCCACAAGATACTGAAAATAACAAACTGTTCTGAAAGGAACCTGAATCATGTTCCTCAACCAAGATTCATTCCTCACCTTCTCCAGCCTTACTTATTTTCAAAGATCTCTTGCTTATCCTCTCCTTATTGTGTTTTATAAGCCCATCGAACTGGGAGGATACTTTGCCACCTGCAAAATAGGTAGCAAGGATTGTATTTCAGGAATTGTTACATGTTACATTCTAGTCACTAACAACTTAGCCTTTGTCTTAGTCTCTGACTTGTCTTTCTAGGGAGAAAATTAATAGGTTCCTGGCAGAGGTTCTGTTGGGAAAAGTAGTTGTAGGGGAGAAAGGAAGAAAAGGAAGGAGTCTTAGTATAGCAATGCATCAGCAATTGTTGGAACCTGATTGTAGGGACCTATTTGGTGAATTGAGAGTAATCTCCTCTTTTCATTCTTCCCTTGTGTCTTTTTAATAACAAACCAATAAAATTAATCTCCTGGGAGAAGTATACTTATGGTTGAAAGTATATTTATGTATGTAATTTATGAAAGTATATTGAAAGTTTATTTATGGTTGAAAACAAAAGGAGAAATTTCCAACAGAATATGCAGTCTTATCTTTACTCTGAAATTCAACTTGTAAGCTCTCTGCTGTAAATATTTTACTTATGGTAAACTTTTTCTCCTACAGGGTTACTTTGATAAAAGCCAATCAATACAAATGAAGACCATAGCACCTACAAGTGTTTTCAGAGACTGTGCACATTCATCTGTTTCACAACTCTGCTGTGGTTTTGCTTCATCGTGCTTGTTTTTTGTTAATCAAATATTGGAGAATGAACATTCAGAAAAAGAAACTCTTTTTCTGAAAAAAAAAAAAAAAAAAAAAAAAAAAGGGCCAGTAGTATAGCTCCATTGCTGAAGTGTCTGCTTCTGTTTCAGAAGTGGAAATGTCCCACATGGACATAAAGAAACAAATTGAACTTAGAAATATTTTCATGTGTTACAGAAACAAATTTAGTTGTCTTCAGCTGTTGCTACAGTTGTGCTTTGAGTTTTAATCTCTTCTGCTAACATACCTTCATAAGAGAAATCCATACAGACACTGAGAGATGGGTTGTCTTTCTGTGTGTCAAGAAGAAAGGTTGATGTGATGCCTTCCCTTATCAAACCATCTCTTAATGTGAAGAATTTTAGCATGTGTCTGCTCATATCAAATCTTGAGCTTTGGCATAATTTTATAGAAAAAATTGTAGTGAAGTGACTCCAGGAATCGCTCCATGCCAGTCTGTCTGGGTTCAGACTTAGCTTCTAGGATCACATAGGTGATGTCTCCTCAGATTAAATTTGTGTCTGAATCTCTCCAGAATATTGAGTCGTAGACTGCAGATGTCTCCTTGTTAAGGGCGGTTTGGCACTGGAAGCACACTCCATCAGTGCTTCATAATCTCAACAGGCAGTTGACGAACTGTCGGAAGGATTTGAAATACTCTTCTTGATCTATGTGAGACATGATTTGTTTTAATTTTTTTTTTTTAATTTTGGCACTTTGAGAAACTTTCTGTCTCCACCATAAAAAGCTTCAGTGGTTATAACATATCAAAGGTGTCAACCCAGAGCTCCATATTCTTCACTTTCATGCAATTCTCCATGAAGTGTTTCGTACAGGGTTATCTACTTCTCAAATCTTTGTCTGTTTAAAGGCATGCTGCCAAGGTCTTTGATGAGGAAACAAGGGAAAGGCACCAGGAATATAAAGCAGATGTTCTCTTGGAGTATTGTGTACAGTTCTGGTGTCCTCAACATAAAAAGGACATGGAGCTGCTGGAGCAAGTCCAGAGGAAGGCCACAAGGATAATAAGAGGACTGGAGCACCTCCTGTACGAAGATAGGCTGAGAAAGTTGGGGCTGTTCAGCCTGGAGAAGAGAAGGCTGCGTGGAGACCTCATAGCAGCCTTCCAGTATCTGAAGGGGGCCTACAAGGATGCTGGGGAGGGACTCTTTGTTAGGGACTGTAGTGGTAGGACAAGGGGTAATGGCTTCAAACTTAAACAGGGGAAGCTTAGGTTAGATATAAGGAAGAAGTTCTTCATAGTGAGGGTGGTGAGGCACTGGAATAGGTTGCCCAAGGAAGTTGTGAACACTCCAACCCTGGCAGTGTTCAAGGCCGTAGTGTAGTGTGTGGTGTCCCTGCTTATGGCAGGGGGGTTGGAACTAGATGATCTTAAGGTCCTTTCCAACCCTAACTATTCTATGATTCTATAATTCTAGATGTTTCTGAATATTGGAGGCGATACAAAGAAAGATAAATTCCACCAAACTTATGGACACTCCCCATATAGACATACATGTGCACATATATCACTCATAACGCATACACAGGCATTTTTAAATACATATTTACTTGTAGTGCTTTTAGTTATATGTTTAGATATAACAATAACTGTTTCCTTGGTGACTACTGTACAGGCCAGGCAATTTCTGTGTTGCTGAACCTGATGATAACCCTTTAAGGAAGTACTCATCGAGTTTAACAATGAAATTAATTCTTTAGCATGCTTAACAGCAGATAAAGTTATCAAAGCGTATTTTATAACTTAGTATATTACGTACACTGCCTATACTTCTTTTCCTAGCAAAGGATTCCTTTGCTAGATAGGATACAGAGCAGAAATCACAATGCCCTAACTCTGCATTTTTAAATACACCTTTCATGTTCTTCTGCTTCCAGCTCCAGAAAGAGTCCATGCAACAGTTCAGCGTCAAATGACATGAAGAGGCCAGCAGACCTGATCGGCCAAGAAGTGGTTTTGGTTTCCTTCCTTCTGCTTCTCCTGGTCTGGTTTCTGAATCGAGAGTTTGAGGTCAGTTACCGTCTCCACTATCACGGAGATGTGGAAGCCGATCTTCATCGCACCAAAATTCAGAGCATGAGGGATCAAGCTGACTGGTTGCTGAGGAATATTATTCCGTACCACGTGGCTGAGCAGTTGAAGGTGTCCCAGAGCTATTCCAAAAACCACGACAGCGGCGGAGTAATCTTTGCAAGTATTGTGAACTTCAGTGAGTTCTATGAAGAGAACTACGAAGGAGGCAAAGAGTGCTACAGAGTCCTTAATGAATTGATTGGGGATTTTGATGAGCTGCTGAGCAAACCACATTACAGCAGCATTGAGAAAATAAAAACAATTGGGGCAACATATATGGCTGCTTCAGGACTGAACACCTCACAGTGTCAGGACAATAACCATCCCCACGGACATTTGCAGACCCTTTTTGAATTTGCCAAAGAAATGATGCGAGTGGTGGATGACTTCAACAACAACATGCTGTGGTTTAATTTTAAACTTCGAATTGGCTTTAACCACGGCCCCCTCACTGCTGGGGTCATTGGCACCACGAAGTTGTTGTATGACATTTGGGGTGACACTGTGAACATTGCTAGCAGAATGGACACCACTGGTGTTGAGTGTCGTATACAGGTGAGTGAGGAGAGCTATCGCATCCTAAACAAGATGGGGTATGACTTTGACTATCGGGGGACAGTCAATGTGAAGGGGAAAGGTCAGATGAAGACCTACCTTTACCCAAAATGCATGGACAATGGGATCGTGCCACATCACCAGTTGTCTATATCTCCAGACATTCGGGTTCAAGTGGATGGCAGCATTGGGCGATCTCCAACGGATGAGATTGCCAACCTGGTGCCTTCTGTACAGAATTCTGATAAGATAGCCCATGGCACAGATAACTCAGAAACCAAGGACATCCTTCCTTCTGGCAAGAAGCTCCAGAAAGACTCAGTGAAAGCAGAAGAGAGGTGCAGGTTTGGCAAAGCTGAGAAGACTGACTGCGAGGAAGTGGGAACTGAGGAGGTCAATGAACTGACAAAGCTAAATATCTCTAAGAGTGTATGATGCACTGTCAGAGTTGCATGAAGTGCTCTGTCAATAGAAACACAAAGACATTTGCAATTGGCAGTTTTCTTTTTCAAGACAGACCTTCTGAACACCTGGGTTGTATGTTTGTTTTCATTTCAGCACCTGGTGCTGTGTGGATCACAGCTTTTCAGGGCTTGTTTTCATCCATCTCTCTCCTCCATGCCCCAAATCACATCCCAAGCTCCCCAGCTCCCTGTGCAACCATCTTACAGCTGAGTAGAGGATATTAAGTGCCTTCAGATATACTCCATTGGACTCCCTGTCAAGGTACAGAGGCCCCAAGTGAAATCATAGCTTTGGGTATTTATCTAATTTTAAAGAAAAGAAAAGCTGTGGTTATATCATTTTTATTGTTGTTTCTCACAAAACACTTTTTTTGGCTAATGCAACTCCTTGGGTTTTTTATATCTCTCTGAACAATGTTTTACTGTTATCAGACCTTTTGTATGTAAACACACAGACAAATGTGCATGTATCTACCATATGAGACTGACATAAAGTGCCAGTAACGTACCACAAAAGAATGTCTTGGAGAGGGGGTGACACAATTTGAGTTTATGTTGGGCTGGAGGAGGAGTTCTGCAGTGGCTCAACATTTAGTTAGAGTAGGCTAAAAAACTGCTGTAGTTTTTTTCACCTTTACCAATGCTTTCTTCAACCTTAATGTGCCATTGTGTGCTTTGGATACACTTCCATATAGCCAATGAGTTACTGATATGTGGGATTGGAATAAGGGTTTGGACATCACCAGCTCTGAGGACAGGTTTCCAGAAGCAGATGAGTGACCATGTGAGTGTTACAATTAATGTCTTAATGAGTCTAACGCAGTTTCATGTTAGTCAGTGTGCTAGCTGAATTTGCGAAGGTTGGTGAAGTTGGTATCTCTAAGCTGGTCTGATTTGGGAGAGAGAGAGAGAAAAGTGAAATGAATGTTTGGGGAATGCTTTTATTTATTTATTTATTTTATTCCTGTTTTGGTTTTTGTTTTGTTCTGTTTGGGGGTTTTGTGTGCATGCATGGAAGGGATCAGGAGACATGAATTGGTAATGGGTTTAATAAGAGTAATAAGATGGTGTTTCAGCCTCTTTGAACTACCAACCACACTGTGAGGATGTTACCTAGGCAATATTTGTTTCAAAGCTGGTGAAACTTCCGAAGCCACCAAATGCAGTTGAGTATCCCAGCTTCCCTCTGTACTGAATCAATGGTGCTGCACAATATTTTTCAGGATTTCCGCCCCCTACACTGTGCTTTTGCAGCAGGGAATGGAACAGCATGCTCCCTGCGTGCTACTGAAAACAGGAAGAGGGAAAAGAGTCCTTTCTAGTGAGCTGAAAAGCACAATAATTTCCCAGTCCTGCAGATGACTCTCTGCAGGTCTCCGGGACTGGAGACCTGTGGGAGCACAGGAACCTGCTTGCACGGAGGGACCTGGAGGATGGGGGCATAAGACTATACCAGTTTGCCCTCTGCATACTTCCATCACCTCCTTCACTTACATTTGATGCCCCTCTTTAGGTAATGTTAATTATTCAACTATTCCAATTCAGCCAACTCCTTGTGACACCGAATATGAAAGAGCTTTTATGCCCAAAGTAAGTTCATTAGCTGGGGAGGAGCTGGTGAAATGCAATGCTGTGCTGTGTGCAGATTGGTATGGGGTTTAATTCTTTCTTTCCATCTGAAGTAAAGTCAGAATATATTGATATTTCTTGTTATTCCCTATGTGATTTTTGGAGTTTGAGTAATAAATATATACATTGTGAAGTTCCTATTCAGCTATTTGAGATCCATCTATACTCCACGGTCAGCGTGGAGCCCTTGAAGCCTGTGTCAAATGTAAATCTGAGATTTCTGGGTCAGACTCTGTACACTGTTCTCACAGAAGTTGCTGTTTATGCATGTCTAAATTGTGCTTGATAGAAAAGCTATTTAAAATTAATCTTACTTGCTCAGTCTGCCAGCACACAAAAAAAGCAGGGGATACTCCTTCCCATACCACAGATGCTGTAGCCTGTTTGGGGGCTCTTCCTGATGAGCAACAATATAAGATTTTTATTAGTGCACAGTTTTACAGCAGCCTTCCTTCTCTGTAGATTGAAACTAGCCCCCTTCCGCCCCCTCCCCATAGTGGGTTGCACTTCCAGCTTTCAGGTAGTATAATTCTGCAAATACCTCTTGCATCTGAAGAATGTATTCTTGAAACCATTTTTAGGGTTCTCGTTTGAGTTACATGTGTGTCAGTATTCCTTTTCTTACAGTAGAGGAGTTAGCGTGGTCCATAATTGTTTACATGCCTTCTAGTGTTACATTAGTGTCTAAAGTTGTTCAAACCTTTCTCCCTTTGACTTCTTTCTCCCAGTTTTATAGATGACTCTACCCAGCATTCCTGTCTCATTGATCAGCTGTTTACAGTGGCAGAGTCGAGTCAAGATGTGCCGGCTTCTCTCTCGTGTGAGACACTGCACGATAACTAAACCTCCACCAGCAACAGCCCTGCATCCAGTGAGAGGTTTGCACCCTGTGATTAAAGCTGAAGGGAGAAGGTGCTGGAGTAGGGCCCCGCGCCCAGAGCACCTTCCTTCTCCTTACTCAAGCAATGCACTGCAGAATACAAAAGCCTCATCCTCCCACCTATAGAGCAAATATTGCTCCCGTGCTGTCGTGGTATGGTGCTGCGGGAGGATTGGTGGGTTTATGGTAATTGGAATACCAGGAAAAAAAATACCAAAATACCAGGGCCTCTTTTTTGTTGGCACTGAGCAAATAAAGTGACTGAGGACAGGAGTATTAGTGGACTCTGAAATCAAGGGCTGTTGTCTGCTCTGGGAACTGCCGGCTGCGTTACTCTGCCTTAACTCTGAAGCTGGGAAAAAAGTCAGAAAAAGTTGAGTAACTGGTGGTTTCCCTCTTTGCTTATTGCCACCAGGAGAGCAGCAAGTGTTCAACACCTGAGACTGCAGGTCTTCTTTCAGAGGTTTGAAATCTTCCCTTTAATGAAGTGTAGTAAGGAAGTCGAGGAGCTCTCAGCTTATGGTTTGGTGGGTAGTGAGATCTTCCAAGGCACAAGGAGCCTTGTAAGAAAAGTGGGAGCTGAACCTTTCCACCTTCCCTTTACACCTCTGAAAAGATGTCCCAATACTCGTTGTTAGAAACACCTCCAGAGACAGTTTTGCCTTGTGCAGTTCTGCATTCCTCTCTGCAGCCGTGACACGTGTGCATTTGTGGGAGGCCATGAGCAAAGTTCATGTCATAAAAATCTCTTCTGTGCTTGTTGGGTTAGTGCCAGCACAGTTCAAACACCGTGTAAGGGTTGAGGAGTTGGCCAGGCACCTGGAGTGTATTCTGCAGGAATAGTCAGTGCCTGGCTGTGTTTCCTGTTCACAGCGTGGTTTAATGATAATGATTTTAAACTTATCCAGAGGACAGGGGTCAGGAAGATTGCTGGATACTTGCTAGCCCCATGTTGCCTTCTGCCACAGCTCACTTGTGGGAGCTGCTCTAGAGTGTAATGAGGAATATGCTGAATGTTTTCCACAGTGTAGTCTTAATCTGCTGCTGATACACAAAACTGCTTGGGTTTTTCCCAGCTACTTCTGTAAAACAGATTTCTTATTCAAAAAACAAGTAAATGGCATTCATCTTGATTTACTTCTGGCATTTATGATATTGAGAAGAACAGATTTGCCTGTTACTTCCCAGGGTTTGGGGCCGTTCCCTTTGCTGGAGGTGACATAACTGCTGGTGCTGCTGCTTCTGCTGTGTTCTAACGCAGAGTGCCAGAGGATTTCAGTGTGACAAAATGAGGTGGGGAGAGGACGGACTCCCAAAGGGCTTCGCAAAAAAAATAAGTGTTTGGATACTCTTACTTCAGGGGTAAAACACAGAAAGGGGGTGCCCAGACCAAAAATGAAAGGAGCTATAAACCAAACACTGTACCCATACCAGCTTTTAGCTAGAGGACAGTTTATTCTTAATCAAGGGCGACGCTTTTAGGGTAGGATTTTGAAACTGCTACTCTAACCTATTTCTAAAACTGTAATTCTGAATGCAGCAAAAAAAATGTTGCAAAGGAGCGGTTGTTAACTCCCTGTTGTTATTTTGCAACATCATGAGAGGCTGCAAGCGCCCGAGGTTGGATATAATGTGATCAGCTCTTTGTAAAGCAATCGGCTTTATGCCATCAACTGTGCAGCTTGGGCAGAGGGGCGGTTTGCCAAATTTAGAGACTGTTTGTTTTCTCCCTTCTTCCCTGCTGTGGTCTTGTTTGCTCAGTCTGGATGGGGTGCTCCAGTGGTTCTTGCCTCCCTGCTCCTCACCTTTGCTAAACTGTATCTCCCACGTTGCACAGCAGCGTTTCAACTCTGCTGCTGGCGGGTCAGGGCGTCAGACGCTGCTTTTGCTGCTGTTTGCCTCTCTGTTTCCTAATACAAATGGGAAGAGCACGTTTGCTTTGATGTCTTGGTCCATTCGTTCGTCCACAGTTGCAGCTTTCTCCTTGTGGTGTTGTTAAGCTGCTTGGCAGAAGATACAGAAGAACATCAGGCACATCCCAGTAGTTAAGAATTCTGTGGAAAAAAATCGTTTTTCATCACACCAGAAGTGGAAAAGAAGTTTTATTACCCTGAGTTTTAGCAAGCATACAAAAGCAGAAGAGGGCAAGAAATAAACTCCAGTGTTTGCTGTCAGCGTTGTGATTTGCTGAAGCAGCGTTTCTTCAAGTCCTGCTTTAGTTAAATATTACAGAACTGCTACAAATGCAGTAGTTAGTTATCAATATGACTATCTCAGTTACTGAAAACATCGCAGGGGTGATTTGACTGTAAATACAGAATGTGGGAAAGGAAACAGTTGAGGTGGAGGTGCAGGGATCCCCAGTGCTGTGGTGCTTACATCTCGATGCCCAGGCAGCTGTGAAAACCCAGTGGAGTTCTTGGAGTTTCCTTGAGACTTGGAAAGCAGTGTGTAGAACATTGGTTTGGGCAGGAAAGTCATCTATTCCAATGGGATTTTTCCTTTTGAGTTCTCTATAC